CGCCAACGGGGTAAAATTTTGACCTACCGCACACATGGCATCTGCCCAAAATAGTGCCAGAGAATCAGTGGTAGCCATTGGTCATTTTCAGGAGTTCCAAAACTAACAAAAAGTCGAACGGTTCCCTTGGCTTATAGGTAGCGATTGTTTGCCTGGTTTGTGCGAACAATCCCACCGAATAGCGCACTCCTGGCTTGTCGAGAATAGAAGCAGGCATTAAAGTTACTGGTGTTCGCGGGGTCGAATGTCGCGGGGTAGAGTTCCAGACACTCGATGACCAAGTACCGCTGCCTGCTTTCGGGAGACAAGAGAGAGCACTTAAGTTTGTGGTTTTCTTTGAAGGTAAATGAGCCGTGGGGGTGGTCGGTGTTCGGTAGATCAATCTACCAAATTTAGGGAAAATAAATGGGACAAGGAAATTACAGGGTTTTGTCACACTGTCTGATTTCTCCTGGAAATTATGAAGACACAAGGGGATCTACTAACATATCAGGTGGGATTGTCCCAAACTACACAACTGTTGGAAAGGAATTTAGGACTTAATGGTGAAAGTTCTCCAGATACCTATAGAATTATCCCCATGGACATTTTTATTTTCACATCCAATTGAAGGTATGCCAAAACATTTGCAAAAAGTACTAGAAAAACTAGCAGCCAAGAGGGTTCTAGCAGCAGCTCGGCTCAAAATCTTTACAAGAAGTTTTAGCAAAAAAAGAAGAGGACTATATCATGGATGAGCTCCCAGCTAAAGTAAGACACACAATATCTACCTTTGTCAATGTTTGGGAGCCACAGAAGGAATATATCTCTAATCGATCCTGAGTGGGTCTATGAGAACTGGGAGGCAGATACCACAAAACATATGTATTTATTTATTTATTCATTCATTTATTTCCTCCTTTCTCTCTCTTTTCCCTTTGTTGTTTCTTTTTAACATTTTTGATTACACATTTCAGAGCCCATTGATGAAGGTGTTGACTTGTGAAGTATTGTAGATACTTCCTGAATTTATTCAAGTCCTGTGAGACTCACTGATGTTTAAAATCTATATTGTATATATAAAAACACTTATTTTATGGTCTGAACAAATGTATATTGAGTACTGCGACATCTCACTTATCTTATGGGAGGCCTTTGAGGACATTGAATTTGGGAGTTCCGGAGAATTTCCGACGACAGGGAGCTACTGGACTGGTACAAGACCTAACCCATCTCACCACCTGGAGTGGGAACTCGAACAGAAGTACCAACAACTGACATCCTCTTTATGTGTAATAAAAATAAAGAATGTAAAAAAAAAAAAGAATGGGTGAATTTACCGTTATTATTAAAAAAGTACAGGCCAAGTTGAGGTCAGGGAAATACGTAAACGGTTAGACAAGTCAAAGGATACAGTAGCCAGAATTGTCAAAGAACAAGTCATGGTCAAACTACACAAGAATCAATACAAATAATGCGCTCTTGGATAGCCAAACTGGAAACCACGACAGGACACTGAAAATTTTTTATTTTGAATTTATATAGCCTAAGGAGGGCTCTGATTGGCCCATAATGCTCATGTGACGTTGGAACGTGCATTTGTGACGTCGGTGTGACAACGCACGAACATTCGCGAACATCAAACCGGGTAAAATGCTTTGAGACATGGCTGCTGCTGAGATAAGGCAGATACCCGGCGGCGTTCCCACTGACCCTGCACCATGACACTAGATTTACACCTGACAATACAATGGCCTTAGCTACTGCTGACTGACATTGCACAATGTTTCCAAACTTGCAGAATTAGTTCAATTTACATTAAAGGTGATTTGTTTGTTTTCTTTGTTTTGAATAATGTAAAATCTACATATATTAAATATCATGTGATTTGTTCTCCCCGTCCCCATGGAAACCAACAGAACATTCTTGCTGATTACAGAACGTTTAGAATTTTCCCCCAAGAATTGATTTTCTGCGTGTCAGAGCAGAGAGCTATTTGTTTATTCTCTGTATTAAGGATTTTAAAACTAAATCATTATTTAGAAATAGTGGACTGTTCTTACAATGATATAAATGAGTAATGAAACAAAAATCCCCAATAATATGTCATGAAATTATATAGCTGTATATCAGAGAGCTAAACCTTTTATATGATTATATTATATTAGTATTTATTTTTCATGTTTTCCTTATGTCACTTGTCACAGGATTTGGTTCAATTTATCGACAGACATGGGTGTCAGGGAGGCCAGGATTCTGCACCTGCTTGGGGCGATCCTTCTTTTAGCAGGTAAAAGACTGTGTTTATGGGAAATGAAGCCAGAAATACTGTATATCCTCTGAAAGTCAGGGTAAAAATCTTTCATGGATTTCAGGATTGTAAAATAACACATTTGTGAGTAATTAGGATTATTGGGGTCCTGTGCATTGCACCCCTCAAATAAAACAACATAAAAAGACAGTTATCCAGGCCAGATCTGCCCTCATATTGCTCCCTTGAGCGATCATTAATAAAAAGCTCACAGATAATATCACCTGCAAGCAATAACATATAAACCATACCCATGTAATAAGTAGAAGAGAGATAAAATACTAATCAGTGGTTAGGATTGTATCGCATTATTTTATAGAAATAATTGTAATTCTGATAAATGTATAGATACGGACTATACTGAGTTATGCTGATCGAACCCTATAGAAATCACAGCTTTGTAAGTGATAATCACTTAGCTGACACTGGATGTGGATTATTATTTATATCTTGGTAAATGTACTTTTTGGACATGGAATTAATTCTTATCGACAGGAATCATATGGCTGTGTCCTAATTTGCACCATTCCATTGCTGAGTTAACCTTTAAAAATGACCCGAGTCTGCAATATCTGCTACCATACAGATAGAATGTGTACACATTGAATGATAACTATCCATACTCCATGTAACGGATCACCTTTCACCCCGACTGGGTACCTCCGTTGAAAGATGCTCCTAGCGCTTCCTGAGGACTCCAAGCACTGCAGCAGACACCACAATCACCGAACCAGAGAGGCGTATACCTTTTCTCAAGCATATGAATGCTGTAGACAGTTGAATAGGAACCATACGAATAGGTTTACTCTCCTAGCAGTCAAACTGGAACAGCATACAATGAATCCTTCCCCCAATAATGAGACGACACTTCACTTTGAGGGTTAAAACAGGAACTCCTGTACTGTCACATACAGTCTCTTTTATTCCCAATCCACAAACATAGTACAGCCCACAGGGCGTTACAAAACAGCCAATCAATCCATACAATACACCCAGACACTCCCACACAAAATCCTCCCCTCTGGCTGTGATATGATTACTGAACACAATGGGTAATCTAATTATCACAGCCAGAGAAATACAGTTTCATAAAACACATCACAGGGACCCCAAAACATGCAATAACCCCATAAAAAGTATATCCTTGGAACTGGGGGATCTGGGTGAACCACATATCCAAAATTCACCCAGATCCGTTCAGTACTTTGGAAAATACAGTTTAATGCAGATTCTGCAGAACATATACAGGCTAAATGAAAAACAATCACTTTATAATGTGTCCCCTGCTGTATAGTCCAAAACCACTGCACGATGTCTCTGTGCACCAAATACTGGCGAGATGGCACCGTGTTGAAAAGTCCAAACAGTGTCTGTGAGTTAAAATGGCCGCCATCCATTGTTCTCACCATGTGCTTCTGATACAGGAAATGGTGGCCACCCAGTAACTCCACAGTATGTCCCCAGATGGTTCTTAAAAGGGCCAGCAGCAGCACAACACAAATCCATTATGCCCAAATCATGTCTTTAAAGGGCAATACATCCCAGGGGCCATAGTCACATGGCAGGAGGCTGGCAACCAGGCTTCTCCAGTGCATAGTGGTGAGGTTAGTTCCGCCACACTCCACACTTGTTATGACATGTAAAAGGGTTACTCTACCATAGTGCCTGGAGTCTGAGTTCGAACATTTTGTACTAACTTGAAATTCACTCTTAATTTGTTTTGAATTCCTAAAAATTCACACTTTAGTGAATACTAATAAATGTATTTGCTAAATAAATTAAAACATGTTGATATGCTTTATCTGCTGCAAGATTGTGTTATTAATACTTAATGTCTGGGGAGGAAATTGATTGGGATGCCGATAATCCTAGTTAAGATGATACCTGCTTTAAATTATGTAGACAGGACTGACCTCAGGGACAAGAGAAATGAACATTAATGTTTTCTTATTATTTTCAGGACTTGCTGGGATTACAAACTCACAATCATTAGGAGGAGGTATGTTTCCTATTGATACAAATTATATCACATCAGAATGTTATACAAGTTCCCTGCATTGTTAGAGATAATAAAATATTAAAAACATAATACAATTTACACTGTGGTGTCCACAAAGTCAGTGCAACACCAGGACATACAAGTCTGCATGAGATAAATGGGAGTTACACTCAGACCAGCCGTCGTTATTTACTATTAATTCAGTTCTTCTCAACGTGCTGGAAGAAGAGCTGTGGAAACAGACAGAAAACATGTTCCTCTCCCAGAATACCACTAAAGTGAGAGGGGCTCAAATAAAACAGCAGCTGATGTATGCCACCTGAGTCCTGACGGCTTGTTCTCCCCAGCTTCCCTGCCCGAGACCGACGGGATGGCCAATTAGTCAGGAGACACCACACAAATCCTCCATAAGCTTGCCGAGGTGCACACTTACCTAGCGGGCAAAATCATCCGCAGCTCCCAGGAGGTAAAGGCCGAGATCCAGGCCTTGTGAGTTGGAGCACCATGTGGAAGCTGTAGTGCAGGCTCACAACACAGTGGTGATGCACTCCGAATCCATGTCACAGCAGGCTGACAATTTTGAAATGCTGATGGAAGACCTCTCTTACCACTTGAGGCGAAATAATTTACAAGTCAAAGGTCCCTGAAACACCTAATGAGGGACCACTGGCACAGAAAATGGTGGCATTCTCTAAACATCTACTTCCTGAAATGCCTGATGACAAGTGGGTTGTGGACAGGGCCCACATGGCACTGAGAGCTAGAAGAGCAGAGGGTTCTGTACCCCGAGATGTAATCATCCACTTCCATTACTTTTTCACGAATGAAGCTATTATCAAGTACAGCAGAGAGAACACACTACAATATCAAGAGGCTAAGCTCACCGTTTTCCAGGCTCTCTCATACCAATGAAAAACATATTAAAACCATTTGGGGTCTGTGGAGATGCAGTGAATGGCCCGGTAGTACCAACTCCTCAAGCTAACCACACTAAAGGATTTACTGGAAGCTTGAGGGAGAATGGCGAGCAACAAGCTGAAAGCCGCACTTATTGCCGAACTCATGGAGAGTGACCAAAACAGTAATACAGCAATGGACAGCACTGAGGAGACTGAATTTAAGAGGGATGTCTGCTGAAGGCTCAGCATCGTGGGGACCTATCCCTCACAGGACATCATCGTCCAGAAAATGGCTTAAGCAACAGAGGCACAGAAAGCTTGTGAGTCGAGAGCTGGATCACAACAGGGGGAGACAATTTCCCTACAAGGATCTACAAATGGACAACCATGAAAGTTAAAATATGCAGCTTTTAAAACTTTCACAGATGCTGAGATGGATATTTAAAATTATTTGTAGGACTTTGAACGTCAGTGCACTTTGGATGGACTGGAAAAGGCTAACTGGGCTGCGATACTTAGCAACAAACTGTCAGGCAGAGCAGCAGGAGAATACAGAGCAGTACCCGATGCAGACATTCATGACTACGAAACAGTCAAGGAGACACTGTTAGCCAGGTATGCGGTAACCCCTGAAGCTTAAAGAAGGAAATTTTGTGTACTGAGAAAAGGGGGGGGAGAGATTCGTATGCCGAATGGGCTTTTCGTATGCACCGAGTCACCCGAAATTGGTTGCAAGGATGCCAGGCAACCACATTGACTGATGAATTATAATTATTATTATTAGAGCACTTTTTCGATCATACCGCACCGGAGGTTCGAGATTGGGTACGGGACCAAAAATCCCTAAAGGTGTAAGAAGCCGCTAGATTGGCCGACAAGTTCCACGATGGCAGAAGGCACGACTTTGGACAAGTTCATAAAGAGGACCCTAAACTAGGGGTTATAGGAGACAGGCAGAGGCCCTGCAGGGAGATATAGATCAGGAAAGGTATTAATGGGAGAAATTATTACCATACCGGATGACTGGAGGGACTGGGAGAGAGGCAGCCCAAGTGCCGAAAAGACAATTAATAGTACCCCCAAATACCGTGCTGAGCTATTAAAACTCAGCCATGACATTCCCCTATCAGACCATCTAGGGATTTGAAAAACTAAGGACTGACTGCCTGTCCTTTTTCTGGCCCTGAGTCATTTAAGACTTACAAGCCTACTGTAGGACATGAGATGTGTGTCAGAGGGTAGGGAAGATGGTGACCACCCCAGAGCCAAATTGAGACCCCTTCAGGTAGTAGATGAGTCCTTCTACCGGGTAGCGGTAGACCTTGTGGGACTAGCCCCTTCTGGAAGAGACAGTACAACCCGCTTTTGCATAGACTACCGAACGACTACCGAACGACCGAACCGTTACAGACATCTACCCTATGCCCTGAGTGGATTAACTGTTAGACTGCATGGCAGGAGGGAATTACTTGACCACTATAGATTGATGCAAGGGATATTGGCAAATCCCCCTCGAATTTGAGACCATTCCTCAGTCCGCATTTGTCACTCCATTTTGCCTTTTGCCAATTCAAGGTTAGGCCATTTGGGATGAAGAATGCACCGGCTACCTTTCAAAGAATGGTCGATTGACTTCTAGAAGGATTTCAGACATCAAAATCACTATAGGAGCTGGGAACATCTTCGACGGATATACTCAGTCCGAGTATAGGGGATCCGTTACAGGATCTTTATAAAAAGAAATAAAGAATAACACACAATATAGTAATAACTTAAAGGAAACGTATTTAAAGATTCTCGCACAGGGTTATCACAACTTCTATATGGAAATACAATATACCCAGATTTAAGGTACACTATAGGCACCAAAACAACTTTGGCTTAATGAACCAGTTTTTGTGTATAGATCATGGTCCTGAAGTCTCACTGAAGTGTCACTGCTTAATTCTCTGCCATTTAAGAGTTAAATCACCTTGTTTATACAGCCGTAAGCACACCTCCCTGCATGTGACTTACACAGCCTTCCTAAACATTTCCTGTAAACTGTCATCTAATGTTTATACTTCCTTTATTACACAGTCCGTTTAATTTAAAAAATTTTATCTCGTGCTCTGTTAATAACTTGCTAGACCCCCAGCAGCCTCCTGTATGTGATTAAAGTTCAATTTACAGAGCAGGAAATAAAAACTTCTGAAGTAAGCCAGCATCTGATTCTATATTAAACCATAAAAACAACATTTTGTTTCCACGCAGGCTGTGTCAGTCACAGTCAGGGGAGGTGTGGCTAGGGCTTCTTAGACAGAAATAACAGTGATATATATTTAAGGCATACAATGTCTGAAACTAAATTTATTCCACCACATAAAACAATCAACATCACAAGTGAAGTTCAAACCAGTGGGAACCCTGCCTTCGTATAGAAAATTCAGGTATTTTGAACATTTGACTAAATCACTGCCTCTGTTTCGGGTTAGCTCATTATATGTTGTGTATCTGCAGATATTTTACATCTGCTCTGTTAATAATAGGGCAGATTATGGTTTTGCTAGCTGGAGTCGATTTAATTTGTTAGTGTGTAAATTAATGTGTTCTCTCTTTCTCTCTTTAAATGTGTCGTCTATTCAAAATATTGTTTGGTGGTATCGTAATTTATAAAATCTAGATTTGAAGAGGTACGTTCAATACTACAAGAAATAAAACTTTCACTAATAAGTATCCACCGTCATACCTGGTCTTGTACCTTTCTATTGAGCCAACTAGATTATTACTTTGATACCAAGGTAAATAAAGAAGGTAATAAAATGGTCTCCACCCTATACTACCACCCTTTAGAACATCCTCCAGTTAGTTGTCGGAAGACGACATTGGAAGATATTTATTTATAATAGTTATTACAAGAATAAAAATGAGGAATATAACTTGGCACAAATATGAGAACATTTTGCAGTCTAGAATAACGGATTTAGTAAGATGTTTAGTCAATGATATATACACATTTCAGTATCACGAAGACCAGGGCCAGGATAAGGCCAGGATAAAATTAAAGTGAAGAACCAACTAGGGCTGGGTTAGAAATACATGTCCAAAATAATGAATATCCCACTGATTACGGTCGAATCCATCCTATAAATAGAAAGAGCATGGCTGGACCTTTCACTCAATCCATATAAATGTCAGCCGTGGTCTCTGTGCTGAGCCCATAACAGTGGCGGCTTTCTATTTTCATACACATGATTGTGAAATCATTGTCTCAGCGCAGTATTTCTCGAGATGGTTTCCATAAAACATCAGGGGTTGGCTGAGATAGGTCGCTCACATCCTGGTTGAAGTGGACATGAGTGAAGATGGCATATAGGGGTAAACACACATTGTTTCTTTCCACAGATACCTTTTTTGATTTATGCATTTTCAAGATGATGTGTGGTTACATTTGCTCTCTGGTGTTCCTTTAAGTGTATTATGTAAAATGAGGAAGGAGTAAGCTCTTGGCATTGCCATTTTATTTATCTTTTATAGCTCCGATTACAGCAATTTCCACTGCAGCTACCAAACAGACAATGGTACGGCTTTTACACAATCACTGATACTATCTCTTGCCTCAACAGAAAAAAAACCACAGACAACAACATGTGAAAAGTCTACAGAATCTGACATGGAATCTTCTCAAACAAGAATGGGAGAACGGACAACTGCTTGTGTAAAACCGAAAGTGTCATCAACATCGAAACCAAGAACAAAACATGAACCTAACCTAACTTATAAGACCAGCACGAAATCCAAAATCACTGCCAGTAAAAACAAGAAACCCACCATCCCAGCAAGATTTAGCCTACCCTCAAAACCCATCTCAATAAGTAGACCTAAATCAATCGCAAAGACAACAGCAAGACCACTGACACACTACAAAACCAGAAAGCCCAACAAAACTCATACAAAGGTCAAACCAAAGCCAAGCTCCAGAACCAATACCAGGGTCAAGCGCAACATAGATTCGCAGATAAATCATAGAAACGCAGATAAAAAAATGCCTGATATCTGCTCCAGAAATACAAATATCACTACACCCTCGGCCACTACTACAGCGAGTCCTTTAACAGGCAATGTATCCATCACTCCAGCTGAAACAGTGGGTTCAATAGAGAAGTCTATCTCCCCCTTGGAGTTCACATGCATGAACCTGAAATACAATGATGCTATCAAAAATAGGACATTTAATATGTTAATCTTGAAAGGGGTAAGGAAGAACTTTAACCTTTAAAAAGCATTTTTTTCTTAGGAATAATATCTCAGTTTATGGGTAAACCTCACGATTCACATGTCACCACATGCTGAACCTCAAGCATGCTGTCTCTACAGATCACAAAGTGATCGGTGCTGAGCAGTTGGCAAAGGCTATGACATGAAAATTCCAGCTAGAAATAATTAGCTGCCCAAAACCAATGTATTTAGACCAATTTTGTGGAATGTTTCAGTTCCTTGTCAAACTTGATCTGTGGGTGATGAACGTATAAAGCTGTGGTCAACCTCCCAGGTGATCCGTATCCATGGTCCAATACATGGATTAACAGTCATTCTATGCTTGGCACGTTGTATTAGGCGTTTTACAGACAGGGAGAATAATATAGATTAGAAATTAGCAAACACAACACTTTATAACTCTTTCAAAACACATGCCATCGAGGATAATTAATTTTTAACTTTAAACCGTATGTGGGTTTTAACCCCTCGTGTTTAACCAGTCACAGCTTCACCTCACACCTGGGGAACCAAGATGGTGGCACAGATAAAATTAACAAGTGTGATGCTAAAGAAAGGCAAAAGGGCTGGGGATGAACCCGGGAATGTCAGTGATAGAACAAACTGAGAAATAAGTGGGAGTGAATCGAAGCCAGTGAAAGGTGGAAGGATGGAAATAACTTGAGTAAAAAAAAGTGTAAGCAAAAATGCAGGAGGAGATAGGAGGCTTGGAAGAAAAGAGCAAATATGGCTGAAGTGAGAGAGTGAGGAAATATATTTAGAAATTAATAAAACAGGCGTGGTGAAAAAAAATATAGCAAAACAAAAATAAGCAGGGAGGGAATAATCAGAAGAAGACAGCATGAGAGAGTCACTAAAGACCATCTGGAACGGATGAGAAAGGGTAAAGATGGCTGGGGCAGGACATCATGTAATATATGTAATATATTAGATCAGTATACGAATTCATTTTCAGTAATAGTAATAATCATTTTATTGCATTATTACTGCCACAGTCTACATTATGAAATGCTTCACAGGAATACTCAGGTATCAGGGATAAAACCATTTTATGAAATTAATTGTTCACTCTTTGTATTTTCTTCACAGGTTAACAGGATATTCAATTACTTCCCATATTATGTCACCTCAGAGATAGTTATGTTGAGGTAAGTGTCAATTAGGAACCGACTGAGACCGAGAGGTGGTTATGGTACCAAACACGTAACAGAGGTATCCTTGCTAAGCACTGGACTCTGGAATTAGATTACTTTGGGCAAACATGGTTTTTGTTTTCATTTCTCCATTTATAATCATTTTGAAAGTGTTCACGGTTTACAGACGGAGGTCACTGTCCAGTATCTGAACCAACAACAATCATGTGATTTATTGTTCCACCATAATTTAATGGTTTTTCTTTATGTGTGCCAATGCATAGTATATAAATAGCTTTGTAAAGGACAGGGCTTCCCTTTATTATCCTATATATTTATCTAACTCAACATTAAGCGTGAGTAAAATGTGAAAAATTTAAACAATTGAAATAAAACCTTTCACATTTTTGCTTATAATAATGTTACACATTATGAGCAACTAAAGACAAAGAACTCATAATAGATGCATGTATCCTGACTAGTGATGTCCCGAACGGTTCGCCGAACGGTTCGCGAACGGTTCGCCACAAACGGTTTGCCGCTGACTCATCATTGAGTAAACTTTGACCCTGTACCTCACAGTCAGCAGACACATTCCAGCCAATCAGCAGCAGACCCTCCCTCCCAGACCCTCCCACCTCCTGGACAGCTCACTAAGAATGCAGCTTCAAAATGGATGCTGTCCAGGAGGTGGGAGGGTCTGGGAGGGAGGGTCTGCTGCTGATTGGCTGGAATGTGTCTGCTGACTGAGGTACAGGGTCAAAGTTTACTCAATGATGAGTCCGTGGTGAACAGTTCGTGGCGAACAGTTCGTGGCGAACCGTTCGTGGCGAACCGTTCGGGACATCACTAATCCTGACTGTTAAATGCCTTATATGTCTAGAATGTAAATTAATGTTTTATAGTTAATGCTGACCCTATACCACCCCCCACGCTATACCAGGAGCAATTAGGACCCGTAAACCAACAGTGGAGACCTAGCATCCCACCTTTGGGCATCAGATGGGTTACTTTCTACCCATGAGCTGTAGATGTGGGCTCTACAATAATACTTTGGTAGTGGGGCGTTGGGGGACACACGCCGGCTTGTCAGCAGTAACAAACATATATCCTTTACAGAGTAGGGTTTTTTTTTATCATTTACCATCTAGCAAGTGGATTTATTTACTGAATTTGTCAGGTATGGTAAGGGTTAATGCAGGGGTTAAATTGGTGGCTCAGAGCACTCTGATTGGTGGGTTTAAGCCATCCAATCAGAGTGCTCTAACAGGTAAATGAAGAGACTGACAGGTAAGTCTCTTCATTTACCTGTCACAGCACTCTGATCAGATTTGACTCATAACTCTCTGATTGGTGGATTAAGTAACCAATCAGAGTGTTATGAGTCAAATTACACAGCGTGGGAAAATTCCAAAGAACTTTCCCACGCTGTGTAAAATGACACAGAGTACTCTGATCTGATTGGTGGATTTCAAGCCAACCAATCAGAGTGCTGTGGCAGGTAAATGTAGAGACTTACCTGTCAGTCTCTTCATTTACCTGTCAGAGCACTCTGATTGGATGGCTTAAACCCACCAATCAGAGTGCTCTGAGCCTAATTGCAGGGCGGGGAAAGGCTTTATAAGTCTTCCACTGCCCTGCAGAGCTCAGTTTGCGCGGAGCCCTCCATGGGTGAAGATGGATAATTTTTTTTTTTTAAATTTTATTTTTATTTTTAAGTGCGTCGGTTAGTATGGCTTTTTATTTGCCTTTTTTGGGGGGCTGAAAAAAGAAGATTTTAGAAGAAAGAAAACATCAAACGGTAAGTTTATTTTATTTTTTTTACAGGCACTTAGTTAAATGGTCCCCCCTCATTATTGTTAGGGTGAGGGGGGTAGGTAGGGGTTAATTTTTTTTGGGAACATATTGACTAGGGGTTTGGGGACCCTTAGTCACCTGGGGGAGAGGGGGTTAATTTTTTATTTAGGGCCCCCACCTGCCGCTTAAGGGTGGGGGCCAGAGGGAAGGACATTAGGTCCCCCCCCAATTAGTATTTAGGGCCCCCACCCACCGCTCAGGGGTGGTGGCCAGGGGGGAGGACATTAGGTCCCCCCCAATTAGTATTTAGGGCCCCCACCCACCGCTCAGGGGTGGTGGCCAGGGGGGAGGACATTAGGTCCCCCCCCTCATTCTAATTTAGAGCCCCCACCCATTGCTCAGGGGAGTAACAAACAGAATCTATTGGGGAGTTGCTGGAGGTCATACGCAAGCTGGGATCTAGTGCTGGGCTTGTGGGATGACTATTACTTTGTCCTGATAGGTTTATCTGAAACCATTGCCATTGCTTTTGTTTGTTTCTTCTGGTTACTTGTTTCATAGTTAGTATTGCAGCTGTTTGTGTGAACTGTTTGCCAACTGACAGTACTATAATAATTAAATAATTAAAACCCCTCCACAGTGTTTGAATGTGACGGTCTAACTCCCTTTGAACGTCCTAGGTTCCCTTTCTCTCAGCAGAAAGTGTATAATCCTTCCAGGCAGAATGTAGATACAGGCATAGCATACCCCCCCCACATGAGCCGAGTGTTAAGACCTGCAGTGGTTATGGTACTGCAGTCTTCTATTCCTTTCCCAATAGCTGAGCATAAGGGATTATAACTGCAGTTGGGAGGTAGAGGAATAGTGTAGATGAATGCAGCTTCCAAGACGATTCTCCCCAACAAGTAGAATATTTTAAGTGCGTCGGTTATTATGGATTTTGATTTGGCCTTTTTTGGGACTGAAAAAATAAGATTTTAGAAGAAAGAAAACATCAAATGGTAATGTGACGAAGTGCCTGGAGGGGACTACTGGCTAGCCTCCTGCCTTCCGACTATGGCCCATGTGCTGATAGCTGTATTTTACCCTGCAGAAAGGTTTATTTGTGTATTTCTGCCGGGGCGTTCGGGACTTTCCGTATGTGAGTAGTGTTACCCCAGATAGCTATGCCATGGAGCCTAGACTATGGAAAAGACTTGGGCTCCATGGCCGTTGAACTGTATGTAGGTCATCTGAGCGCCATTCGATAATAATGTGCGCTCAGATCTAAGCTATCTGGGGATATGTTGCATGTATATGTTTTATGTAGTAATTGTAACATTGTGTAATTTTATGCCTTTTTGTAACCATGTGGTTAATGGAGTCTTGCTTCTGTCCTGGGAGATAATTTGATTACTTCCCAATTATCTCCAGGATAGAGAGGAGGGATTGTGATGTCACTGTGGGAGTGTTTTGTTTGTATTGTCTGTGATTTTCTTATATCCAATATGTGTCCCATTGTTCCATCAGGCCCCCTAGAGGAGTGTCCACCTGGTGGACACTTGCATAAATACCGGGCAGGTAGCCCTCAATAAACCAGACCTACTTGCACCTTTCTTGAAGCCTTGGCTCATGCTTGGGGGAAGGGATACCTACACTCTGGGGATTGCTATAATCACTTACTCCCCAGAGTAAGCTCTTGTAAGAGCTTGATTTGTTCCTGCTACGTTTAGGAGAGGTTCACCCACTGGGAGCTGGATCCTGGTCGTGGATCCAGGGTGGGTGAGAGACAGCGAGACCCCGGCGCAGCTGCATCGCTGGAAGTGGGGTCCGCAGTGCTGATGGTGTCGGTTTAAGTGCTCTGAGTCCTCGGCAAGCGCTAGGAGCATCGATTGGCGGAGGTACTCGGTCGGAGTGCCAGCAGTCCGTCACATTTGGTGGCAAGCTGTGGGATGGCGTCCTAGTGGGAGGACCAGCAGCTTGGAGACACCGGTAATGTGTGGAGTTACGGATTTATAGTTGTATGTGATCTGAGTGCCATTTGGTAATAATGTGCGCTCAGATCTAAGCTATCTGGGGATATCTTGCATGTATATGCTTTATGTAGTAAACATTGTGTAATTTTATGTCTTTTTGTAACCATATGGTTAATGGAGTCTTGCTTCTGTCCCGAGGACAATAGGTCCCGCCCCCCTTATTTTACTTTAGGGCTTGGGAGGGAGACGTTTTTTGTTTTTTTTTTACTTACAGTGAGCAGGCTGCTCACTGTTTAATAGACATGCCCCTACTTGCGGTATAGCAAGTAGGGGCATAATTTAGTAATACTAAGTAATCTTTACTTAGTATTAGTAAATTTGGCTGAAAGACCAATTCAGATCTTTCAGCCTTTTAGTAGATAGCTCCCTAATACCGTGGGAATTTGGGAGTTATCTACTTATTCATTCCTGTCATTCCATTGACAGGCTAAGTAACTTACATTTTATATGAATGTATGTGTAACGGAACTCCCCGTACTCCGACTGAGTACCTTCCGTTGATGGACGCTTCCTAGCCTGCGCCAAGGATCACAAGCACCGCACTGGACACCACAACCACCGCAGACTCCACAACCGCCGTAGCTTAACTGGAGTCTCGCCGTCTTCTGTCCACTCTGGATTGGCTTCTGTCCTCCAGGACCATGTGGGGAAGACCTCTCCTCCAGGAGAGCGTATCAGGAACAAGCTCTTAAAACAGCTAAGTGATTAAAGCTCAAGGAGTATGCAGAGCATAGCAATCCCCTGTGTGATTATAGCAGTTCCCTCCAGTAACGAGATGAGGCTACGTTTTGAAGGGTAAAGAAGAACTGAAGCTTTTAATCAAACACTCTGCTTTTATGCACATTTTACACACATAGTACTGCCCACAGGGTTTTGCAGAACAACCAATCAATATGTACAATACACTCAGACACTCCCACACATAATCCTCCCCTCTGCCTGTGATATAATTACTGAACACAATGGTCTAACTTAATTATCACAGGCAGGAAAATACACAGTTTTACACTATATTCATAACTCTAAAAGTATATATCACATTCACATAAAACTTACAGAACCAGCATACTCCAAATACAAACATAAGTCAACATCATACAAATTGGTCCAGTGGGTCAAAAGTTAGTTGGAAACCCCCGTTGTGACCACCTGCAAGCATGGCTTGGGTGTGGAAAGCCAATTACCTCCAGCATACAAAAAATAGCTCTATTCACAACAACAGTAAAAACACATAAAAATACATAATTCCTATTATACTTAACAGAACTCTCACATTCAACCTATCCCCAGATAGCTTGGATCTGAGCGCTCACTATATTCGAACAGCGCTCAGATACCACAACCACAGTCAAATCGCCATGGGGTTAAACCATAGCAACAAGTTCCAACTGGCCTGGCAGTGTCCCTGGGACAACGCCCTGCTGGAGAACAATAGACAGGAAACAGGGGAGGGGAAGAGACACATCTTCCCATGGATTCAAATGGACAGAAACAGTCTTTTAGAAGTCAATAAGCCCCAAATAGTCTTTTTAAATGGCAATACACCCCAGGGACAGTCATGAGGGAGGAGGCTGGCAATCAGTCTCCTCCAACAGCCAGGGGCAAAGGTCAGTTGGTCATATAAAAATCCAGTGACAGTATGTTACTTGATTGTTGTAAGTGTTGCAAATGCTTACAGCTGAATCCTGGCTATGCTTGTATACTTTTTATTTAAACTTGTATACAGTGTAACATTCTTCTTCCACTGGGTAAGTATATTAGTACTTAGGCAATACTTCAGAACTTCGGCAACTTCGGAACTTCAGCGCTTCAACACTTCGGAAATTCGGTAATTTCGGAACTTCGGGACCTCGCCAATTCGGCACTTCGGACATTCGGTAGTATCCGAATGTACGAATTGCCCGAAATTCGTCCGAATTCATATTCGGACCGAAACGGATTGCACATTGTAACGGACCATTTTGCCCACAAGAGGTTAAAAACCGTTTAGGCGATATTCCCCTTTCAGATGCACAGGCAGCTACTGCAAGCACCAATCTCCCGAACTGCAAACTACACGAATTCACCAACTCCCGAACAGGAAACACACGAACACTGGAAACAGCTGAACAGGAAAAACCATACGAAAGGTTTACACTCCTGGCAGTCAGCATACAATCCAATTCCCCCAATGACGAGACGACACTTCGTTTAAGGGTTAAGCAGAATCTCGTTTACTGGGGCTACCTGCCCGGCTTTTATGCAGGTCTCCCACCTGGTGGACACTCCCCTAGGGGACCAGATGGGAAACTGGGAAACATATTGGCTCTTAGCCAATCACATACATACACCTTTAAACACTCCCACAATTACATCACAATCCCTCCTCTCTGTCCTGGAGATAATTGGGAAGTAATCCAAGGACAGAGGCAAAACTCCATTAACCACATGGCAGTAAAAATACAGTAAAAGACATAAAATTACATACAGTCACATTTATTACCTAAAACATTTACATTCTACATATCCCCAGATAGCTTAGATCTGAGCGCACATTACTACCGAATGGCGCTCAGATCACATACATACAGTTCAATCGCCATGGAGCCAAAGTCTTTCCCATAGTCTTTCGTTACACGAATAGGCTCCATGGCTTATCTATCTGGGTGATGCTGTTCATCCGGTTAAACTACCGAATGAACAGTCATTCGGTTCTACTACCGAATTGGAAGGTAAGGAGGCTGGCGGCTCAGCGGTGTTCGCACCAATAAGTGTCCGTTTTCAGTTCCATAGTTTGGGCGCTGAACACCGCTGGCCGTTCGGGAGGTAAAATGGCCGCTGCCACGTGTTCGGTGGACGAACAAAGGCCACCCAGCGTTCATCAATTAAGCTGCGGTTAACCGCAGCTTCTGGGCGGTCAATTGACGGCACACTCCAGCTCCCAGGTGGTCCATCGTTCGGTAGTTTGTTCGGTAGATTGAATCTACCCAGCACCCCGGCAGAAAGGCGCGAATAAACCTTTCAGCAGGAGAAATAACAGGGCTGAACTGCAGGGCCATAGTCTAAAGGGAGCAGGCGAGCAACCAGGCTTCTCCAGTGTACAGTGACGAAGTTGGTTCCGCCACACACATGTCTAACAAACAGCACAGATTACTAATACCAGAGGAAACGGTCTTAAACATCACCTACATTATCACCAATTAAAGAGGAATATGTCAAGCTGCCATGCCCCCTCCCCCCAGTCACCTGGGCACAAACTGACCCACCCCCAGAGTTAACAGTCCCTACAATGACTGAAACTGAAATTCATGTGCCAATAGTGTTCCTGTCTTTGTCCTGTTATTTTATTTGATGTTCTTATTTCTAGTGATGTTGGAGCAGTGAAGATCTTTATGTATTTGTGGTTTGTGGGTGGGCCGCTTAGCTCCCAGACCGTCGCTGATGCATGCGCTAAAGGAGTGTCCAAGAAAGACGTCTTTTTCAAGGGGGTCAAGATAGACTACATCAACTCTGGAGGTGAGTGACAACGTTTCATATAGGGACAATTTCTGTGAGATCGATTACAATGAAATAGGGAAACAATACATTAATAGAGTTACAGTATGTGTTTCCTGCCACTGTCTTATATCTCGTGGGTTTATTCAGCCCGGGCACTCATGAAGGGGACATGACATGCGACACTCTGTAACCAACATCACATCATCATATCCAGTGGTATTTCCCAGAATTCTCTACACAGGAAGTAACCTCACATTCAGGCCATTTATCCAAAGCATGTAAGCCTGTGACAGCATGTGTGCAGGTAGTGGTTACTGTGTAGTGCGACCAACCTTCTTTACCAACCATTTTCCCCCCAATAAAACCTGAGACATATTTGTGGTATAAAACAGGCCACAGCTTTATTTATAAATTCACAAATATATATTCAACCAATAAATAACCATTTACTAACAATATCAACATGATATACAAATAACCGCAGACTTGTCCTTGCCAACCCATTCCAGCACCAAACACGAGTACTGCTGGACGCCTGCCCTCCCCCTTCATCCTAACCACCACTTGACCTCCAACCTGGCCTTAACTTACCACCATGCCAACCACTAATCGGCCTTTGGCTCAGTTGGCACGTCCGAATGTCCAACCATTAACCAGAGGTTAGGGGAGGGATCAGCCCTAACCTTCCTTCTTCCCCTTGTACTCTTGCTCCAAACCTCTTGGCAAGGACCATACCCGCCACTAGCCCCGCTGCTTAACCCTAAATGAGTGGGTGCGACACCCCACCAACGCCATAGCCTGTTTTAGCACGTCTTGCAATGCTAAATTAAATAAATCGAGGCCCACGTCGGTCAGGTGGACCCCGTCAGAGCGAAAAGAGACCGCCACATTCAGTGCAAAAATGTGGTGCCGAACCGTCAGATCCCCCGTACCCAACACAAAATTTAGAAACCCGTTTGTTTAGTTTGATCCTGCAGTGCTCCATGACCCTCTGATCGCGAGCGCACCTCCAATAGTTACGGGCCACCATCTCAGACCAGACCAAACAAACCCGTGGAAAAAGCACCAGTAAGCACACCAGATCCTGCTTAATCATATCCCCACACTGGCATTGCTCCCAAATCGTTGCCCCCAAGGTGTATGAGCAACACGTCTGGGGCCCCCAGGAGACTACTTACGGAAGCAGCTGAACCCATCACATGCCCCGAGTCCCAAACCATCTGTCATCTGCCGACTCAGTAGAAAGGCCGAGACGAGTCCCACCAGGTCGAACCCCTGCACGGAGATGGGCCCAATAAACATAGGAATGGCCGACTAACCAGACCCGTTGGCTGCACCCTGCGGAGAAAACACATGGGAAAACGCAATCAGCCCGGTTGGGCGCACATAGGACCGAATCCTCCCAGACTTCCATCTACCAATCCTCTGGATAGCCTGCTCGGAGAAGCCCAAACGAGAAGCTTCTGTCGCTTCCCCGATCCGGAAGGACTGTAGACTGTGGGCAAACAGAACAATACCCCTGGAAGCTCGATACAGGCCACACCCTCGACCCTGAATTTGCCTGAATTGTGACCCAAACCCCACGAACATCGGTTTTTGAGCGCCGCAAGAGGAATCGAATCACCCCAAACGCACATGATACGTCCGTAAAGAGACTCCCACCTGGCACCCGTTTACTGGGACTCACCAGCTCCCAGACCCGCAGAGCCCCAAAGAAGGCAAACGTGAATCTGAGGAAGGACTAACACAATCCCCAATCGCAATGTTATTTTTTGAAGGCCCTGTGCAGCCTCGACTTCCCCCCGCATATACCGCAACTTGTCCACAGGTAAGTGGCATTTCCCCTCAACAGAATCAATCTTGATCCCGAAAAAACTCAAACACGTTGTGGGGTCCACTGTCTTATCGGGACCCCAAAGGAACAGGCAACATCTGCGACCAACTTAAGGAGCTGAGCACACACTGGAGACTGGTTGGGACACACGGTCAAAAAATTGTCAAGGTAATAAAGGATGGAGTTGTAACCCAACTCCACCCTCACCACCCATTCCAAAAAAGAACTGAAGCATTCAAAATAAAAACCTTAACTCGCACATCCCATTGGGAGGCACATGTCCACATAGTATTGCCCTTCGGCACAACCCAGGAGGTGATGACATTCTGGGTGAACCGGGAGGACCCGAAACACCGATTCCATGTCAGTTTTTGCCAATAACACCCCCTGTGATGGACCGCTGGCACTCCTCACTGACCAAAGGTTACAACAATATGCATGTGCCACCCTGTCACAGTGAGGGATCCAAAACCCTCGAACAGCAAGGCTACCACCTTCCCATTTCTATAAAGGCTTAGCCAGGAGTGCATCCCGCCGACGTCCACCGGCGTCCTCGCCCTTAACGCCCAGAGCATTCCCTTTGTCTCCAGACCTACCCCGCTTAAAGCAGCAGCGGGAAGCGGGATGGGATCCCCCGCATCTTGAGCACTTGTGTTTGAAACTACAGCTAGCGCTATGCTTTCACTGGCTGTCATTGTACTGCCAACAACATCCGGCTCTCCACTGACCAGCCGACGCAGCAAGCAAAGTTCCATTCGCCGGCTCCCCAGAGAAAGGATGAGAGGCCTCCTTGGTGCAAGGCTGGGCAAGTCATGATCGCCAGCCATAGGCCGATATCCATTTGGTCCCAGCCTGTGGAAGGGCGGACCGCCAAACGCTGGTGGAACTGCTTGTCGTACCACCCCGTACCCCCATACACCCGACACGCATTCCAAATAAGATCCTGGTAACAAAAAAGAGAACAACATTTCTCTGGTGCCTTTTCCCCAATCATGCTGGCCAGGATGGAAAAGGTCTGAATCCAATTACTCTGAATCCAATTACCGAAGGTCTTCGAGATTTTCCTGTAATGGAAATGCTCCTCTTTCTCCGACTCCTTAGCATCGTTATCCACCGGGGGCATGTCCTCCAAGGGGAGGAGGGAATAAATTTCCACAAACTCCCCTTTCCAAATTTTTTCCCAAACATCCAACTTCAAGTGCAGGCCCAGTGGGCCAGACCAACACATGTAAGCCACACCATGCGTGGCTTGGGCTACCTCGCCGCCAGAGGCTGACACCGGCGCGAAAAGATGCTCGGTAGCCAACACAGGAACCACCAGCGGAATGACCTATAGTGCTGGAGCTGGGCCCGCAACGGACACCCCCCGGCGATGGAGTCGACGTAGCGACCCCAGGTGCAATACCCACCCAGCCTTCCTGAATCTGGCTATCTAAGGCAGTGGACAGCGGAGACACAGCTTGAGTGCTACGCTCCCAGGAGTCCAAGAAACTCTTCATGCTCCTAACCAAGTCACCCCAGCCTGAAACCCACCCGCGCCTGCGCCCCCCTCTACCCTCCCCCACCCTGCCGGAATACTCACAGATGGGCACCTGAGACGTAGGCAGCAGTGAAGCCGAGCCAGGACCCCCAGGCAGAGCTGCATCCAAGGGAACCGCAACAGCTGGAAGGACCGCACGAGTCACAGTAGTGGAAAACTGGATAGGAAGCTGTTCAGGAGGGACCTGTGAAGACAGCAGAGGTAAGTGAGATCCCAACCCACCCCAGCAGTGACCAACGCCTCCTCTGTCTCCATGCCCTAGGGAGCGAGACAGTCCCCACCAAGGTACAACCCCCAGGGTCTATCTGCCCCTCATCCAGGCCACTAATCCACTGCTTTGCAGACTCCTCCTCCCCACGCCCTGCGCCTGGTGTCTCCTCCCTAATGGAACCCCCTGCCTGACGTCGGCCCTTCCACTCTCCCCCACCCCAGAAAAGAAGGAAAACCCTGCTCCACCCCTGACTCAACAAGGGGGCAACAGCCCCCTGCCCCAAGCCTGATTGCCGCCTGGCCGCCATGGGACCCCTAGACCCCCCCAGCATCCCTGTAGTCTGCCATCCACCCCACCCCTGCTTCCCCAGCAACCCCGGAGCCCACAATGCCAGAAAGGGGTCCCCGCCCTAACCCAGCCACCCCCTTCCCCCTTTGGGGGCCCCAGGAGCACCCAGACAGCCCTGCACCCCAACCCCCCCCCGACTACTAAACTCAGGCCGAGCACCAGGATCCCCCTTCCCGCCCAAGGGGCCCTCAGAGGGACTCCCTGCACTCGCCTGTATGGGTCCGTGAGGCCCTGGAGCCAGCACCGCCACTCCCGAAGTCTCCACCAGGGGCCGCCCTCCCAGGCTGTAACCCCATCCTGTGCGACCATCCGGGGGGTCCACCATCGCCCACAGGGGCCTCCATTCCAAGCGCGGCCCAGTCCAATTTGAGGGCCGCACTGCCAGCATTCTGCCGCACCAATATAAGAAGCCCGTCCGAGGCTCCGGAGGCGCGCTGGGAGGCGGGGCCTTAACCACGCAGCCACAGCACCTGTTTCCGGGATCACGACTCATGTCTGCCTGGTCCTTCAACACAGGTTCCCGCGCCGCCACCATCATGGTCCGCCGACGCCGCCAAAACAGATCCCAGCTGGGCTCGAATACCGTCAGCTCCATGGCTCCTCGCCATCGTCTGGATCCCCTCCAGCATCCTCTCCACCTCGTTCATCCTGCAGAAAGAAGAAACCTACCAGACCAAATCAGTGGACACACAGGGTGCACACAAACTCGGTCGGGTAGGCAAGTTAAACGTGACTCTTCCGAGATGTCTGCCTATTTATTTAGCCAAGCCCCCAACCCTCAAACCACCAATCCCTACATGCTTCCTCCTATGCCCGACTCCTAGCCCTGTCAAGGCCCCTTTCCACTAAGCTGCGCTTTTGTTACATGGGGCTACATTACAAGTTTTATAAATCGTGGCCGAAAGAGGAGGAAGCTAAATTCTGCCCTTACATCAGTGATGCTCAGGGAGATTTTATATAGATACTGTTATAAGCCACTCTGAGAAGGAGACAGGGGGCTGGGTAATTATTTATAATCTGTGAAATGAGGAAAGAACAAGAATGTGTATAATAACTGAATATTTTGTGGCAGGTATACAACCTTTGCCCACGGCTACTGAAGGATCTGTGTTTACCACACCTGGAATAGACTCCATATACCCAGCATGTATAGCACCCCCAACATGGACCACCATGTCTCCAAACCCTGGATCAGGCAAGTCACCAACACCAGGACCAAGCGGAGACTACACATCTGGAACATCTGCAGCTACACACTCAGCAAACACCTCCGAGCCTGTTTATTTTGTTATTACTATTGAGTTTAGAATAATTAATAAGTCTTTATCTGACGTTAATGAGATGTTTACGTTACACATCGAAGACCTGGTAAGTGTCTAATGTTCATTAACTCTTTCAACTACTACAATTATTTTTTAATTAAAGAATACGTTTAAAAAAAGCTTAAGATGAGACGCAGAGATCATTAAGATAAAAATGTGATTTGCTCTATAAAAGGCTTAGCGGTGGGGAAATATACAGAGCATTTATAAAAATGTGATTTCATTATTATTTAATTAGTTCTGATTTCTTGAATAACATTATGGAAGTGACTATTTATTTTCTGATCATGTGGAGAAACACCGGGTAAATATATGATTAGAGGTTATAGATTATCCCTTGGTCAGAAAAAATGTATAGAATGTCAGATTTTGCATATACTGTACGTGGAACATCATAAATTGTGAATTTGTAAATAATCTGCTGACATTTGAGGGAAAACACAGATTCTCAGAGTGGCAGCAGAATGTAAACATATAAAAAAATAATGCTCATGTACAGTAAATACATTTGCCCAGCTAAATCCAGGCATCCCGATTCCCTATCACATAAGACATTTTCCATATTTTCCATCTTGTCATGTCCTACTTTGTGTCCGCCTTACTTCTTGCTCCTCCAGTTTCTGTTGTTTGGTCTGCATCAACAATTCAGGCTCCTATACATTATTTTGTAGACCATGTATTGACTGGGATTCGGGACATTAAACTCTCATTCTTCCACGTTAGCAAAATTACTGGCTGAGCGTGTCGGCTGACACTGCTTGCTGTGGGATGTTGTCAGGGGGTGCCTGGCACTCTAAACACTACAGAGTGCTGCATTAGTTATGGTGCCAGAAGTGTTCGGGAGCTCTCCCATTGTAAGTCAGCAGATGTTTTAGGATGGTTTGACTTCTTATCTGGACCACCTGGAACCCCGACTGGGTACCTCCGCCAATCACGCTTCCTAGTTGTCGTCGAGTCCCCTTAGCCACCGCAGCTTGGCTGGGGTTTCGCTGTCCCTTCCCACCCTGGACCAACACCTGGATCCAGCTCCAAGAGAGTAAAGAAGTTATAGCAAGTGATATAGCAGTATAGCTGTTCCCCCCACACATGAGCCAAGGCTTAATGCTGGGAGTTGTCTGATTTATTCAGGGCTACACACAGCCTTTTAAGCAACAGCCCATACAAGGGGTTTCCAATACAAGAATACAGTGAAATCCCTCCCATGATCCTTTGTGCCTGAGATATAATTATCTGAGAAGCAAACATATAATTAAATTATCTCTCAGGTACAAAAAACATAACATTTTCAAACATCACAAAAGTACCCCCAAAATACATAGAAACCCCACAAAAGTTACTGTGGCGGAACCAACCTCGCCACTGTGCACTGGAGGAGCCTGGTTGCTCGCCAGCTCCCTTTAGACTATCGCCCGGCATTTAAAACCTTTTATTTTCCCTGCAGAAAGGCTTATTCGTGCCTTTCTGCCGTGGTGTTCGGTAGATTCAATCTACCAAAGAAAGTACTGAATGATCGACCACCTGGGAACTGGAGTGTGCCGTCAATTGGCCACACAGAAGCTGCGGTTAACCGCAGCTTAATTGACAAACCCTGGGTGGCCTTTGTTCATTTGACGAACACATGGCAGCGGCCATTTTAACTCCCGAACGGCCAGCGGTGTTCAGCGCCCAAACTATGGAACTGGAAACGGACACTTATTTGCTTGAACACCGCTGAGTCGGCAGCCTCCTTATCTCTGCATTTGGTAGTATAACCGAATGCCTGTTCATTCAGTAGTTTAACCGTATGAGCAGCATCACCCCAGATAGCCATGCCATGGACAATGCCTAGGTAACATTTTCGGGGTAGGGCTTATATTGCAGCCCACCCCGAAAATCCGACTAGGGCTTATTTTCGGGGTAGGGTTTATTTTCGGGGAAACACGGTAAGCTATCTGGGGATATGTAGAATGTATGTGTTTTATTCATTATTTGCAACATTGGGTATTTTTGTGTTTTTTTACCAACATGTGCTCAATGGAGTTTTGCCTCTGTCCTGGGAGATAATTGGATTACTTCCCAATTATCTCCAGGATAGAGAGGAGGGATTGTGATGTAAGTGTGGGAGTGTATGTCTGTGATTGGTTAATGTCCAATAGGTTTCCCAGTCTTCCATCTGGTCCCCTAGGGGAGTGTCCACCAGGTGGAAGACCTGCATAAAAGCCGGGCAGGTAGCCCCAGTAAATCAGTTCTGCTTGACCCTCAAACGAAGTGTCGTCTCGTTCTTGGGGGGAATTAGATTGTATGCTGATGGCCAGGAGTGTAAGCTGATTGTATGCTTTTCCTGTTCGGCTGTTTCCAGTGTTCGTGTGTTTCCTCTTCGGGAGTTGGAGGATTCGTGTAGTTTGCAGTTCGGGAGATTGGTGCTTGCAGTAGCTGCCTGTGGATCTGAAAGGGGAATATCGCCTAAACGGTTTTTAACCTCTTGTGTGCAAAACGGTCCCTTACAGTTACATTCTCGGATAGCCCCGATCTGGGTGACCAACATATCCAAAAAGCAGTGCTGATAGTGGAGAGCTAATTGAAAATAAAGATAGATGAGAATAGGGTATGAAAATAGGAAACCTAACAACCTATACAATACTTGACAAAATAACTATTAAACCCTTCTCTTCTAAATAACTGTATATAGCTAATTGCTTATATCCAAAGCAATACAAAAAAATACAAAAAACGTAAATAAATCCAGTAATGTGGAGAAAATGAATAATAACTGGACTTTTATTCATTTTCTCCACATTACTGGATTTATTTACGTTTTTTGTATTTTTTTTGTATTGCTTTGGATGTAAACAATTAGCTATATCGGTTATTTAGAAAAGAATGGTTTAATAGTTATATCGAAAAATCACCTAGATCGGTTCGGGCTTTCCATGGAAGTCAATTATTTGACCGACCACACACATGGTCCTATACACAATCACACAAAAATAAATTCAGCGCGAAAGCAAAGTGATAATAGTCCAAATGCAGCTGGAACACCAATACGGAGTCTCTCTTATCCAATCAGAAAATTGGATAAAAACAGGGGGTAGGTGCAGTGCTTCAGTAATCCTTGACAAGGTATATGTTAAGAGAACCAGAGAAGGAATAATAGTGTAGTATTTAGAACTGTAGTGGTGATAAGTAAAATAAAAATGTGCACTCACACTTTCCTGGAGCTTCAATACAGCTCCAGTGTATGCGCCTGGGCGGAATAATCCCCACCTATGGATCAAGTGCAGAGGCAATTCTTCAAGTTATAGTTGTGGTAGGGGGTATCCTTATAAAAAACAAACAAATAAAAATCGTATATGGTGAAGTATGTAGAGCTATGAAGCAAGGGTAGGAAAAAACTATAAAATGTGCACTCATGTGTAAAGGAGCCATAAAACCTGGCTCCTCTGATAGGACTTGAAGTGATATGAAACCCACTCAAGGATACAGGTGTAAATGCAAATTCTTCTCTCCGTGTATATGTGAAGATAAACAAACAGAACCACAATAGTGTACACCGTAAAAAAGGAGTGTAAGCAGAAATAAATAATTTAAGCCTACTCACATGCTAATGAGCAAGTTCCGGTTTTCTCAATCCAAAGCGCTTGGGTGGTATGATCCCCACCAGGGATATAGCTCCAAACAATCCGACAGCAGCAAAGTTAGGTCCAATTAAAAAAGTACTTTAATGTTAAAAAATATATAATAAAATACAATATATAATAAAAAAGTGATAAAAAAAGTTATAAACAATACACTTAATGCGTTACTCCTTGGATAGACTTTATCAAAAGTGTTTTTTTTTCTATGCCCAAAACAGTTCCATGAAATCAGTGCTAACGGTCGATCTCTTTCGGGAGTATAAAAGTGCATAAAATACCGAACATAACATATAATTACAGCGTGTAACTTGTTCACCTCAACAGTGCCCCTCCAGGTTGTGTAGAAACAAACGCAGGCGATGATGGAAGTCCAGCGGTGTTCGGGAGTTTCAGTGTCTGATTTTAGTTCCATGAGCTTGACGCCCAAACACTGCTGCCTGCGTTCGCGTGAACAAGATGGCCGCCTCGTGGTCATTCACATGAACGGCGGCCACCCAGACGGACAATTAGAACACTG